TGGCTGGCGGGACACGGCGAGCCCTACCGAGTGCGGGCAGCCACACGGTAGCGGGTGGCCAGGCGTCCCCACCCACCCATCCCCAGACCAGCAGAGTCCGCGCGCGCCCCTGAAGCGAGCTAGCACCTCCAGTAGAGAGATCGAACCCAAGCTCCCCTTCCACCCCAGCAGCCCTCTAACTCGCAGCACCTGCCTACCGGGGCCCGCGCTGGTCGCGCTGGGGATTCTGCTGGCTGGGACGAGCGGTCGACTCAGTGCGGGAGTGGGTAACTCCTCGTCTCCGGCCAGCTACCCAAGTTGAGCGAGCCAAGAGGAGAGAAGAGCGCGCTAGGATGTGGGTGTCACTGGGACGGAGAGTGAAACTGACCACGGAGGCTGCCACCTCCCACCCCTACCACAGGCCCCTCCCCCTGGGGCTGGTCGTTCTACGAGGCAAACGGGGCGCCAAGAGTGCCCACCTTCCCAACAGCCTACTCCAGATAGGGTTAGAGAGAGCCCTGAGAAGGTCCCTGAGGATTCAAAGTAAAAGGGAAACTGCTTAGAAATGTTTCTAGAGGCGCAGGATAGGGGAGGAGAGAGCGACCAGCGGAAGGAAAAGGATCCAGTCTCCTGGACACCTTCTCCAAGATGCCCCTTTCTGGGTGCGGGGCTCCCCGGAAGCCTGTGCTCTGATGGGAGCCTGAGGGCCCCGGGACTAGGTCCTCGGAGCCATTCATTAATCAGACCACTGGCTCCAATCTGGTCCTTGAGGTGGCAGCTACTCTCAAGAAGAAGAAAAAAAAACAACCCAACAAAAAACAAACCAACAACTCCGTTTTCCCCAGTCCCACCCAACCCCGCCTGCTCCTTAATTTAGTTCCGTTAATGGCATTAAACGAAGCGAAGAAATCATGTAGATGGATTAGTCCAACTGAAACCCAGGCGGTAACTCAATTACAAGAGCCTGCAGTGGCTTTCAAGACCAGGACAGTGGGCTGCCCCTGTCTCCAGCCAGGGTCTAAAGGTAGGTAACCCTCAGACTCAATTTGCAGTGTGGATCCTTGGGCTGGAAAGAAATTCCAGGACCTATTTGTCTTGCAAATTACATCTGGACGTGAATGACACAACGTGATTATCCAAGGCATGGCTGTTGTGGTGTCGTTATGTGCCATGGAGTCAACTACAGCTTATAGAGACCCTATGCACAATAGCTCTGAATCTTGCTCTATCCTGTGTCAAACTTGCTGTGTCTGACACACCTTACCCCCATTACCTCAGTCAATCCATCTCCTCCAGGGTCTTCCTCTCCTGCGCTGTCCCTCCACCCTTCCAAGCATGATGTCCTTCTCCAAGGACTGGTCCCTCCTGGCTACAAGCCCAGAGTATGTGAGACGGAGCTTCAAAATCCTTGCCTCTCAGGGGCAGCTTGCTTTCACTCTCTCCAGAACAGACCTGTTTGCTCTCTTGGCAGTCCAGGATATGTTCAAGGCTCTTTTCCAGCACCACAGCGCAAAGGCATCAGTTCTTCTTCTGGCATGCTTGGCCATTGTCCAGCAAGTAATGGTGAAGACCATGGCCTGGATCGTGCACACCTTAGTCTCTAAATTGACATCCTAGCTCTTCAGCAGTGTTGATAGGTCCCTGAAAACAGACTTTCCTAATGCAATTCATCTTTTGATTTCTTGATTAATGATGCCAAATGTATTAATTATGGAGCCAAGTAAGCTGAAATTGTGAACCATCTCAATTCTTCTCCATCTATCATGATGCTAACAATGTGATCAGTGGTGAGAATCTTTGTTTTCTTGATGTTGAGCTCCAGTCCATATTGCAAACTACAGTCCTTGACCCTCTGCAGTAGATGCTTCAGGCCCTCCTCAGTTTCAGCAAGTAAGGTTGTGCTTTCTGCATAACACAGATTGTTGACAAGTCTTCTTCCAATCCTGATGCCACATTCCTTCTCATAAAGTCCAGCTTCTCCAATGATCTGTTCTGCATACAGATTGAAAATGTGTTGAGACAGGACACATCCCTAATGCACTCTTTTTCTGATTTTGACCATGCCGTTTTCTGAACCATGCAGCCTCCTGGTCCAACCATAGGTTTCACATGAGCACAATCAGGTGTTCTGGGATTCCCATTCTTCTCAAGGTTAGCAAAAATTTGTTGTGGTCCACACAGTCAAATGCCATTGCGCAGTCAATGAAACACAGATAGACATTCCTCTGGTACTCTCTGCTTCCAGCCAAGATCCATCTGATATTGGTGATAATGTCTCTAGTGCCACAACCACTTCAACACCCATTTCTGGTAGTTCTCTGTTGATGTACTGTTCCAGTTGCTTTTGGATAATCTTCAGCAGGATTTTGCTTGCATGTGATATTAGTGATATCGTTCTATAATTTCCACACTCTGTTGGATCACCTTTTTTGAGAAAGAGAATAAATATGGATCTCTTTCAGTCAGTTGGCCAGGTGGTTTTCCTCCAGGTTTCCTGGCACAGCCTGGTGAGCACTTCTAGGTCTGATAATAATTAATATCAGGACTGAGGAAAGGAAGGCATGACTTTTCAAATGAGCAGAATTCAAAGTGATGGAGACTGGTGGCTGGACTGAGCTAAGAGGATGAGAGGGAGGGAGTAAAAAAAGAGGCCTCAGAGAGTTTACAGCCAATAATAATAGCTCCCATCGACTTAGCAGCTACCCTGTGTTGCAACTCACTTGAATTTGTTCTTCAGTTCTTTCAGCTTGAGAAATGCCAAGCACGTTCTTTCCTTTTTTTATTTTCTGACTCCAACTCTTTGTACATTTCAGTATATTACTTTACTTTGTCTTCCCAAGCTGCCCTTTAAAATCCTCTACTTATCTCTTTTTCCTCCGTTCATCTCTTTTATTTCAGCATTTCTTCCCTTTATTTTGCTTCTCCAAATTCAAGTGCACATTTCAGAGTTTCTTCTGACATCCATTTTGGTCTTTCTTTATCCTCTTTGTAATGACTTGTTTTCTTCATGGATAATATCTTTGATGTCATCCTACAGCTTATCTGGTGATTAATGTTCAATGCATCAAATCTATTTTGGAGATGGTTTTAAAATTCAAGTGGGATAGACTCAAGGTGGTATGTTGGTTCTTGTGGACTTATTTTTCTTCTCCTAAACTTTATTTTGAACAGATCTGTTCCACAAGCTGCCTGTTTTTTACAGCTGATACCAAGCTTCTCCAGTGATTCTTTCCACAAATGTAGTCAATCTGCTGCCTAAGCAGTCCATCAGGTGAAGCCTATATGTAAAGCCACCATTTGTGTTTTCCATAAAATGTATTTGCAATGAATAGACAACTGATTTTGCAAAATGCAATCATTCGGTCTCCAGGCTCATTTCTGTCACCAAGCCTGTAATTTCCAATTACCCTCTTCTTTGTTTCCAACTTTTGCATTACAGTCACCAATTAGTATCAATGCATCTTAGTTACATGTTTGATTGATTTCAGACTACAAAAATTGGTAGAAGTTCTCAATTTAGTGGTCGGTACGTATCATATACGGAATAATAGTTGTATTAACCTGTCTTCCTTCAAAGTGTATGGATAGTCGTATGACTGACTATCTCATGGACTGCAAAAAGGACAAACAGGTCTATCTTGAAGGAAGTACAACCAGGATGCTTCTGAGACGCAAGAAGGGGAAAACTCTGTCTCACATACTTTGGCATGTTCTTAGGAAGAGCATTCCTTGGACAAAGATGTCAGGCTGGGAAAGGTCAGAGAAAGAAAGGAAGACCTGCAACAAGATGGACTGGTTCAGTGACTGTAATAAGGGGCTCAAGCATATGAGAGATCATGAGAATGGCACAGGAGAGGGCAAGGTTCAGATCCTTTCTCATAAGATCATTACGGCTTGATTGGCACCTAACAACAACAACCTGTGCCAAACCATGTGCTAAATGCTTCGTACCATTCTCCTATTTCATCTTCACAACAGCCCAAGGAATTTACAAATGAGGAAACTATTGAGCTACAGAGAGGCTAAGTAACTTGCCCAGAGGTTGCACAGCTGGTCAGCAGGAGAGCCAGAATAAATAGAAATTTAAAACCCTAATGAGAGGAATCTAGATAGGAAATCAGGTAGTTAGTTGATCTTTACAATCAGGTCTCTTGTCTTTGAACCCATGACCTCTGCATATC